AGGTATACACAGAAAGAGATAAATAGGACCTCTATTCTCGCACTGCTGGAGAGACCCTCAACAGTGCGAGAAGTCGATGTCTCAAGGATAGCTTTATACAATACAGATACGTGTTCAACCCTCTGACTCTCCGTCTAACGATCCCACCCCAAGGCTCTCTGACACCAGCTGAGTTATTGGTAGTGCTCTAGACATATAAGTCAGCCCTTTCGGATGAGCCTAGGCTCGGTACGGTTTTCGAAGTAGAAACAGCTGAGACTCCGGACCCGTTGTCGGTGCTTCCACGATGATCTTTGACGGAATTCGTGGCCGAGATGATCGGACAACCACTCGAAGAGGCGCTGTTCGATGTGTTTCCCATGGGCCACCCAGATCCGGAATTAGTCGGGTTGGTGCTGGTTGCATCAACGACAGTAGTCTCAGAGCTACTCGTACCGGCTGTAGAGGTCGAACGTCCAACTATAGTTGCATCAGCCGAGCCTGGTTTTTCTGAGTTGTGGCCAGGCTTGCCCGTGGGTTTGCCGGAACCAGACTGCAATTGTGTCGTGTGGGAAAGTTCCGTGGTCGATGTGCCACCTCCAGGCTGCGAGTGTTTACCAGTTGGAGCATCCGGTCTCGAATGAGACTGTGAGTGTCCACTTTGTCCGGGGTACCTGACGCTTTTCCAGAAGCCTTGGAAGGTCCTGCAGAAGATGTGCCACCTTTATTGTTGCCTTCTTCCATTCGCTTCATCCATAGAAGGCCGCTAAGCTGATGAGGTATAAGTTTTCCCTCAAGCCTTGGTGGCTAGTTCGCAATTCAGTCGTAGTGAGCTCTTCATCAGGCCTGATATACTGCAAAAGCTCTTTCAATTGTTCCTCAGTTTGAACCTCATCTCGATATCCGTATGGTGAATACCCAAGAGAGCTCGGTCAGATTGACCTGGAAAAGGAGGATCTGAAGTAGAGGGGGTCGAAAAAGAACGGTTCGGGAGAGTAGCTTGGGGAGGAAGACTCGTAAAACGGAGACGCGGATAAAGTAGGTGTGGCTAGAATAGTGAAGAGGTAGATCAGAGATTGTCTTCGCTGAAACCAGAAATTGTTAGGTGATCGGGCGTAGAGAACTCGAACTGGTACACCTATCTTCTACCGACACTCCTGTAGGATTGCGATTGCGGGAAAGCCTCTCAGGTATTGCTGTTAGAAGGGCAAGGAGAAGGGCAAGGCCTGGGTCATCTTTGATGGCTTTCGAGTCCGGAGCTGCTAGTGCGACGGAGGTCGATAGTTAAGCGTCGTGAGTGACGGATGATCGAGCACTGTCATGAGAGGACGAGGACCGACTAGTGAGGAGTCGGTTTGTATTCCCATCCGACTCCAAGGAGGACTGAGTCTACCCGTATGGACGCAGGGACCTCGCTTGCGTTATATCTGAGCCGGCCTCCCCAGCCCATTCCTGTGAGAGCTGCTAGGCGGGTCTGGTATCCTGTTCCTCCTGTTGCAATTAGTGTTCCCGTCTCTTTTAGTTATCCTGATTTAGCTTCACGTCCTCCTTCGAGACCCTGTTGTGACGGTCAGGCACATGTGGAATAGAGAACGCTCTAAAGATGTGATTTCCTATTGTACGAGAGACTAAACTAAGGGAGAAGAGGAAAGGAGGAAGGGGAAGAATGGGTCGCCGCACTTTTGGCTCCTATCTCTCTGTATGACTCCAGGAGCAAGTAGAGGCCACGGTGGCATAGCCCACTGGGTGATTCCGGGATCAAGCGTTAATGGAGCACTGCTCGGGCGGAGGTTGTCATGGGATGGCACCCGGGCAAGGAGAATGCTCCAAGGTTGTGTATCATCTCTGCGCAGAATCATCAGTGCCACAATATCGAGAAGCGGAAGGTATGACCCCCATCACAAGAACCCATCCGACTCACATTTGTGCGCCTGTTGTTGTTACATAGCCATCTTCACATCCCTTCCACCCTCGGATGGCGCACGAGTTTCGCTCCTTATCCTCTCATTCCTGGCGCCATCATCGTGGTCCTGATACTTTTTACCAGCCAGTATCCCTGAGCTTGCCCTCTGATCGATAGATCATGGTCCGCCCATAAGGCTACACAATGTTACATTCCGGGTGCAGAGTGGGCCGAGAGAAATGTTAACTACCCAGAACTGTGACCACACCACGACCATCCCGAAAGAGGACAGAAGTCAAGATATATCCAGGAAGTGGCAGTCCACTCTTTGCCGATCGCAAGGACGTAGTCAGAATATTAGGCGTTAAAGGTGGTCTGCGCTGGGCTAATGGCCGACTTGGGAAAGCCGTTCAGAACCTCAGAGCTCCCTTTGAACGGTGGGAGTGCGCTGGAACGTAACGGGGTTGGGTACTGCAGAGCTTCCTAACAGGCGAAGGCCAGGTAAACCGCCAGGCGATCTCTCGAAGAGCTGGCTACCTGCCAAGGGTCGTGAAAGCTGTACTGCTGGCTCCCGACCGAACTGGACGCCCTCTCGCCCGAGTAACGGAGGCCTCGATAGGAAAGACTGGGGCAGAAGGGGGGCACCACAACGGCTACGAAAGTGAGTTCTTGGATGCGGGATGCGGGACGTCGATGCCGGTGGGTGGCAGTCAGGCTCCAAAGAGGGCCAGATCACCCTTGTCCTTTTTCCTGATCACGCCGCTCGCCAAGTTTTATTCACAAATCGCTGGCTGTGACAGCTCTGGTGGATGTTTGGATCTGCACGGCCTTCGCGGATCTGGTGTTAAGTATCCTCAGACAATGAATTAAACGCGATGTGGCCTTGAGCTCACGATATCCCAGGGCCGAGTCGACGCAAGAATCGTAAAAATAGCAAAAGGTCTGTCCGAAAACGAGCAATGATTCACGCCTGAAGTAGCTTCGGTGCTCCGCGAACAGCTTGCGGGTCTCGTCCGGTGCCAAAGATCCTCAGACGACGTGTTAGGTGTGGTTTGGAACTGATGCGGCGATATCCCAGAGTCGTGTCGACGCCAAAATCACCAATATCGCAAAAAGGTCCGTTCGACAGCGAGCTCCTATTGGCGACTGAAGCGACTTCAGTACTCATTAGACGGCTTCCAGTCTTAACCGGTGCCAAGTATGTTCAGACAGCACATTAAATGTGCTGTAGACTTGAATTGGCCGTATACGAGGGCGGTGTCGATGCAAAAGTCGCGCAAAAGTCGCAAAACCCCAATTCGATAGCAAGCCACTATCATGCCGGAAGCGGCCTCTGTACTCCGCGAGCAGCCGCCGAGTCACATATCGTGTTAGATATGCTTAGACAAGGCATCAATTGCACTTAGAGCATATTTGCACCGTCGGCACGTCGACGTCAACAAAAATCGCGGCGAGAGCGAGCTCCCATCCACGCTTGCACCGACTTCTGTGTTCGACATATATAGCCCACGGGCCTCATACCGTGTCAAGCGTCCTCGGATAATACATCAAACACGTTAGCGACCTGACTTCGCGACATCCCAAGGTCGCCTTGCTGACGTGAAAACCCCATTGGGTTAACGAGCTACTATTCCCGACTGAAGGGACTTGGGTGCTCAATGGATAGCGTTTGAGTTTCATAGGATATTCAATAATCTCGGGTAATGTATTGGAATTGATATGGACTTGAATTGGCGATCGTCCCAATGCCTACTCGTTGACGCAAAAGTGCCCAGCAAGACTCGTTCGACAGCGAGCTCCCATTCCCCTCCGAGACAGCTTCGGTACTCCGCCAACGGTCGTTAGTTCTATAGTCTCTCAGACGTCCCCGGATATTCTGGCACACACATTATAGACTTGAATTGGTGATATCCCGAGGCCGGCTCGTTGACGTGAAAAATGCAGAAAACATCTCGGTCGACAGCGAGCTGCTACTCGCGCCAGAAGCGACTTCCGTGGACCGCACCGTCAATAGCTGTCGAGTCTTAATACCGTCTCAAGCGTCCTTGGATAATGTAGCTGACGCGTTCTGGACATGGTTTTCAGGTTCTGCTCGTCGTTGCCGGCTCGAACTTCCGCCGTTGAAAATTTCGAAAAGTTTTGGCCACGTTGAAAAAATGAACTTCCTCAATTCGCGGTGATATCGAATTTCGATTGCTGTCCGAGGGTGGCCTAAGTCGTAGAATACTCCCCAACTCCGGTTCACCCAGTCCTAAGCGTACTCAGTGAAGAATCGATATGGTTCGATCCCGTCAATAGGTCTGGCGCTGAAACCAGTGGCAGACGTCCATCGTTGGACATAGATCTTTTTCATTTGTCCTCCGATGATATGATTTGATGTCTCTGGCCGTCGCCAGAAGAGAGACCTATAACATACAGAGGTTGTTGAGTTAGATATGGGTCGAGCTCTGATGTTAATGTGGTTTGCAAGTATCGGATTGAACTTAGCATCGACATATCACATGGTCAACCCCAGAACCTATTTTGCCATCGCGCGGTAGCCTCGTCGCGCCCATTGTCAAGTCCCATAAACCGGGCGCACACGCCAGGTCGAGACAAGAGCTTGAACCAACGCCCGTCGTTCCCCTGGGAAGGGGACTCCACAAAACGCAGGCAGCCCCTCCTGGCCGGCCCCGAACATTGGCAGAAAGGATAACGTAGAGCCAAACGCACTGTGTGCCTTGGCCGTACTGGACCGGCTGTTCTAGCGTGGACCGGGCAGAACCTATTGTGTATAGTTCTAAACCTTGCTAAGAATCCCTGACAGTCGGGAAAGACAGAAAAGGAGGCTCCGATGCAGCAAAAATCGGGTTGGTTACCGGTGCAATCCGGATAGAATGTGAATATCCATCTCTTTGTGATATTCCCGCAAATGGCAGTGGCCAATGCCCTCAAGAACATGCGCTCCGGGAGTGTCAAGTGATTTGTGTTCGCTTCGAATATAGCCTCCGTCATTAGCGTCCCCTCGGACGCCCGTTCCACAATGCTATCAAGCGGCATAGTAAACAGGGGTCGTTGGGTTATGCCTTCCAGGACACCATTCCAGAGGTCTTGACCAAGGTGAATGTGAAGGTCAAAAGGTCCAAATGAGTTGGTATGCTCCCACAGTACAGGATACCCATTCGGTATAGGGTGCCCAGGTGGTAGTAGAGGAGCGCCCCATCCAGGTCGAAACGTTTTGGCTAACACATGAGGGCCCACGAGAGGGTTAAAAGTTGAAACCCGCATAGGAGGAAGGTACATAGCGGGCTGTAGCATACGAGGATTGCCCAGAGGAATCCCTGACCGGACAGGAGAAGACTCTAGTGGGCTGTCGTCCAGTAAAGGTATCCGTGGCAGCCGGACAGAAGACACCGACGACGGAGGATGTGGCACGAGCCTATCGGTGCGGGGGAACAAGGTCATTCCAGGTGATGTAACTGGAAATGGAGGCGTCCATAGCTGGGAGACGTTGGAATTTGCCGTTGGCACGTCGTCCATGCGGCAGGCGGCCAGCTGAGTAGAGCTGGCGGTGAGAGAGATCCAAATGAAGTTGGCACCGGAGGGTGAGAAAGTCAGCGAGAGAGTTGAGCGTGGTTGAGGCTGAAAGAGATGAAGGAGGTGGGAGGGAACAAGAAAGATAAACGAAAAACAAGGACGGGGAGCGCAGGTTGCGGAGCAGCTGAGGAGGCGTTTGCCTCGTCTGCGCTGTAACTGGGGACCCTTGCAATAACCTGAAGTCCGATCCCACCACCACCTGAGATTTCGTGACAAGGTCATCTTGATTTCCACACCCTCTTACAGTCCATAGTTACCGCAGTCACCAATACGAGGTGGGGAAAGCAGCAGTTTAAATTTCAAGGGTGGTCCGTGCAGTCCGGTTGCCTAGTGGACTCCGGGGGCTTTTTCCGGTTCTGGAACTCCGCGCCGAGTAGCCATGTGCTCAGGTGTCCCTACACGTAGCGCGTGCGGGGCATGGCTGCCCGCCCTGGAAGCCTTTAACTAAACGTCGCCTAGGTATGTGCCACGTGGCTCCCCGTAGTGCCCCGAAGCCCTAAGAGTCCACAGTAAGTCCACAAAAGTTACCGGGCACCCCTTCCATTTTCCACCAAAATATAGTGTACGAGGGTTCTATAGGTAGTTGGCATGCACGTCCGAGAACGCACCGGGCCTTGTCTCGCAGGTCGGTCGCTGAGAAGGGTTCTCTGATCGAGCCACTGACTATACCACGACCACCATCAACAACAACGGCCAAAATGACCATGTGTGATCTGGGTGGGTTTCCCGTGCATCTAGGTTCACCACCCGTCAGCCTACCCGAAAACGTCAAGTTGGGCAAGGACAAGGCAGTAGTATGCGTCGCGAGCTCCAGAGCATCATGCCCTGCTTGGAGGGCATTCACCACTGGCCTGGTCGACTTCATCTGGCCCCCAATATCCGCATTGTTTCCTTTCGCCGGTCGGAGTTCGTGGTAGACGGGCTTGGTGGTACTGAGGTGCTGGCACGTGTCTCCTGGCATGAGCGGCCCGATAAGCACGGTATTGACCACGGGTGGTATTCACATTGAACCCTGGTGCGACAGGATCCGGCGACGGAGCACACTTCTGGTGGCGATGGGGTTTGACAGTTGTGTAATATATATTGTTCTAGTGAGGAGGAGGAGCTGGTCTCAGTTGCTGAACCTCCTTTTCCCATGCTCTGCAATGGGCAACCCGTGGGGAATAGATATCCTTCCAGCGTTTGCGTCTGGCACCGCAGTCAAGTGTTCGAGTTTGCACATCCATTGCTCGGATATGGCAGCCGGTGACTCGGCGCATTAAATTCGAGAGGAACTCAGCATTCGTTTGATTATGAACGATCCGAGGAGGTTGTACCCAATAACCCCTGTACCGACGGTAACGACGCCCACGATCCATGGTGTCGACGAGAAGGAGGGCTTCTGGGCTTCGGTCGCGTAAGTGCGGAAGTTCTGTGTGGAATAGGCTGTGGAAGCTTGCGGGTCTTCGTTAGAAACTGACCGAGACAGTCGAGAAGATGGTCGACCCGGGAACCGTTCATGGAAGGGGGACAGGCTCCTATATCCAGGTAATCGCAGACAGTGGGCAGTGATGGTGGACTTCTGCCTGCACAATTGTTTTACTCGGCTCTTCGTGGCTTTAACTCGAAGGCTAAGCACCCCTTGCGTCGTTGTGGTCAGTTCGAAGAAAGTCATTGGATCTGACGTCTTGTCTCTAGTAGTGACTCAGGTCTCGATGACATTTCGATCTTGTATCGTCGAATGAGAGGTATTATGTGGGTGATCATGATCACGTCGTGTCTGCCAGACATGGGTTTGGAGCTGAAGATTGCCGTGCCCGATATTCTCGAGAGGCCGCCCATTTCGCTGAAGGCGGGAGTCTTTACGTGAGAACTGTCCTTTTACATACTTGGCTATGGCCTGTGGATGTCTACACTGTGTATTTCATTCTCTCTTCTCTTGGTGTACGGATTTGGTGATGGAGATCTGGGTGCAAACTGCAATCGGTCCTAATCTTTGGAGTATGACACAGTCTTCCGGGCTGGTTATCAGTTTCCCTTCCTTGACCATTCTTCTTACACCTAAACGCCCAGGTCCAGTCAACTCCCGTCCTAACAGTGTGCGGTGTACATGTTGGTTCGTTAAGATCTTGAGTCACTTCGAGTGTCGGTGTAGCTAACGGGTTCGAGGTAGAACCTCCCGGCGCCCCCTCTTGTTCGTCTTCTAGTACAATGGTGTACTCTCTTCCTCTCTCTCCGTCTCTCTCTCTCTCTGAGAATCTTCCTCTTGTGGGTTCCCATCTTCTCTTGCGTGAGCTCGTGAAGTGAGGGTCAGGAGTCTAGGAGGATGCCGTTATCGTCCCTAGGAGGGTTTTGTCGAAACCTTTCATTGTCGATGGCGCATCGAACTCGGCAGGCAGGCGTCTTCCCCGAGTGGTGTGGGTGCGAAGACATATTCAGTCCGTTTGGTTCGATTGACGGATGAATGATGGTGTTTTGTACCGCGCAGTGAGACGGATTCACTGAATGTGGAAAGTCGATCAGGAAATAAAGTGGTGAGCTGATCATGCGCAGTCTGTAGAGCGGGAAATCAGTATTTCGATCTGCAAAATAGGCTGGAGCAAGCCCGCAGTGAGTGCACTTATTATTCACACCAGATTTGAAGGCGAAGATTTCATAGATCCAGTATCTATGAAAAACTTAGGGTGGCGCAAACGCATAACCAGTACGGTACTGAGTCAATTCTTTTTCCAAGGGAATCAACAAGCGCATCTGTACTGCGGCTGACGTGGTCGGTCGAGGCATTAGTGCACCTATCATTCGGAAATACATGTGAATGGACAGAGACAGCGGAAGAGTATCTGGACGCAACACGGGCAGGCTTTCACTTCGATTCCATATCCTTATTGTTCCACAGTATATTATTGTGCGTCTTTTGAGACCACAGGCGTACGAAGGGGTGGAATAGGATGAATGACGTGATGCTTGACTCCACCTTTCGCTTCGCACCGAGACTGTTTGCGTCCACCCACCGGGGATTTCTAAAAGAGAAGAGGAAGAGAATGAAGAATGACAGATAATAGCTTGGAAAGGCCAGGGGAAGATCACGCCGTTCACGCCGGAAAACGTAAAGATACCTACCACTCGCGCCAGGTTATGCAAAACCACTCTGGGCACCTGATTGGTCCATCAACACTACCGGCCGAGGTATATTTCATTTAGTGATATATTTTATTGGAGCACAATTCTCTTCAACAATTCCCAGGTCTATCCCGGGTTCCAGCCTCTGATGGCCACACCGAGTGGCAGACGGAGCTAGCTGGGGCGTGAGGGTGTGGCCACCAGATCTGGGACAGCTTCTCTAGAGAGTTACGAGATTACCTGAAGGTAACTGCTCTGACACTGATGGCACTACCTTCTGCAGGTAGCCCAGTTGTTCCGCGCCTTTCACGGCTCCCTAAGCGAGGGTTGACCGAGGCCGGAGAGAACCTGACGAAACGACGGAAAAAACCCTCCTCTACAACTGGAGAGTTTCCCTCGATCTGAACCTCAACTTCCACCGGGGAGTTGGGCTTCAGGTTAGAGTTTTTGTTGAATATCTATAATGGATGGATTGTGGGCGAAAAATAGTCTATCAATTTTTGCATATTTACTCCAAGTGGGATTCGAACACTCTTTTATGTTCGTTTGCTGGGCCGGTAAGCTCATCCTGACAACTTTTTCTCTGTGCATACAGTCTGCCTGTGCTACAGATTGCCTCCTCGTCATGGCGATCGGCTGATTCATCCCAGAGGCTGTGGCCGCGTGCTCTCGAGGCGAGACCTGTGGGATAATGTGCATCTGTGTGCAATCAACAAAGTCCCCCGGTCGTCAAAGCAGAGACTACCGTGCATCTGTGTACATACAACAAAGCCCCTGGTGGTGTTTGCTCACTGGCATCAAAAACGCCACCCTGCTGGATGGATCAAGCACTGAGGTAATTCGTACTCCAGTATTATGGTGTATGCAGCAAATATTCGACCGGATATAACCACGCCGCATAAAAAAGTCAAACAACAAACAAAATCTGTCCTTCTCTTCCATCCTCTCCTATCGACACGGTGAAAAGATCGTGCAACTCGCTTCCAAGGATGAATTCACGCTCAGATAACGGTCGCAGCTTGGCGCTCCTGGCAAGCCACCCGGCTCGCTTTCCTTTCTGATGGTGACACTTCCTGCGCGCCACGGCCATCATTGCCAAACACTCTTGACTCCCATCCCCATCTGCCCGTCTCCACGCACGACACCCTCGGTTCCACAACCACACCACTGCAAGACAATGATACGCCTCTACAGCATATGGTGCTCCTAAATCAAGTGGAAAGTTCATGGGAGCTCCGAGATATCGCTAATCCAAGTGCACAGCGCTTCTGACACATTGCCGGAGGATGTTGCGCACGAGAAGAGTTTCGCTTCTCACAAACCAAGTCATGGGCGGGTTACATATGTATAGGTTGACCTGCCTATGATAATATGTGTATGGTATACCGGTTCCGGAGGTACTTCATCCGGTATTGGCACGGGCAAGCCTCGGACGGCGGCCATGAGTTGATGTTCTACCCACGAATCCGAGAAGTCCTTCAGTGATCCAAAATGGAGCTAGTCATCTCTCAATCTGGACCAGGTCGGATCCCTATCACATGGTAGACAGGCAACATTGCCTTACCATGAAGTGTCTGACAATTGCCTTGTTCAAGTCTTCCGCCCCCATAGACACGCGTTGAGTCACCAGATATTCCCCATCAACGTGCTCTTCTCTCATGCTGCGTTCGCGTTCCTCAAGTCTTGCCATTCTTTCCCTTTCCACCTTTCGACCTTCTCTTTCCACCTTGGTCTTGTGTCGCTGCTCGAGTGAAGAGGCATCATGATCACTGTCTCTACCAATGCTGAGGAAGGAGACGTCGGGTCGGCTCTCTCTTCGTGGACACGGCAGCGCAGGTCAAAGGGGAGCTTCCAAGCTATCTTCCTGTCCACCTTGTCGTCCTGCAGGGCTTGTACTGCAACTGATATACACAGATCTTCTCAATCATCGCCACATGTTTGGGGTGTCCTGTGAGTCCGGCGTGGACCACGGTCGGTTGGGGTGGGAATAATATTGAGGTTCCTGTCGAGTGCAGCTGTCAGCATAGTTCTTTCTGAAGGACTAGGGCCCATGAAAAGAGGTCCAGGCTGCAACTAAGGAGAACGAGCAAATAATCCCGTTGAAGTGAGGACGCTGATGTAAAGAAGATCGTGGAGTGATTAGTGACTTCGCAAAACAATCAGGCGAGATGAAATAAATGGGATATAGTACCTGCACGTGGTAAGGATCATGGATTGACCTGGTTTGTGATAAGTTTCTGCCATTTTGAGCGATTAGTGGTTGTTGGTTGTGTTGATTAAATTGTCGAGCGCAGACAGATGTGGCCAACCCCTCCTGGAGATTAATCCTGCGATAATCGGCCACTATATGCAAAGGTTACGCCGCTGATTGGTCAGCATGTGCCTACATGTCCAGTCAGCCACAGTGCGTGTTAGGTGTTCAGTGAAAGGTTCGTTGATCTAAATGGCTGAGGGCCTCCTGTTCCACTGAAATCTCCTCCTTGATACGCGCCTGAAGCTCCTTTCGAACCGTCTGGATCTCCTGCACGGCCCTTGCAGGGCGTTGACCGCTGCGGGGTGAGTGTCTCTCTCTTTACACCTTTTGCCTCATTTGGCAAGCAAGCCAGATATTACCTAAGGGTAAATACATTAACGCACTTCCCCGGACGGGATGCTAAATGAATGCGTGTCTTTTAAGATCGGATCACCCTCATTCACCATCATCCACATCCATAAGACACAATAAGGAAGGCCGATACCTCTCTCGCTGGACCCGGATTTTTCAAAATGCTGGAGCTGCTGCTCCCGGCGATGGCTACATCGGGCTGCATTTGCCGCTGTACCGGAATAAGACCAAGGAATTCGTCTCACGCTTCGGTGTCCATGTGTTGTCTCCGGATTACAGAGTGTCGCCAAAGGCACCCTATCCGCTGCCGACCGACGACGTCTGGGATGGACTGCAAGACCTGAGCCAGAATGCAACGTTGCTGCAAGAATTCTAAGAATGCTGCAAGATTGCTGCGACCCTGCAAGAATCTTTATTGCCAGGCTGCAGCGTTTGGAGCAAGAGTACAAGGTTTGGTTTAAGGTTGCCACAACGTCATGAGAGCGTCTACACCAGCTGATTAAACGGCTGTTCACGTTGAAATCTCATATGAATCCTTAGTCGACCAGGTTTCAATGAAGGTCCTGGACGCGGTCCGATCGAATGAATAAACAAACATTGCGCCTGAAGCGGCGCGACAAATCAGGTCGTGTGTGGCACTTTACAAAGTTGTGGCTGTACAACGCTCCTTGTCAGGTGCCAAAACATGACTCAGCAATTGCCAAGTAAGACTTGCACCTGGCACCACCCCAGTACATAACCACTGCACAGACCCCGCATGAAAATTTCACTCCTTCCTCCATCCTCCATCCTTATACTTGCTGCTTGCGCGCCCTCCAAGCCCTGCTTCCAGCAGTTTTTATCCACCATTCTTCTCCTGCTCTACGACCAGTAAGCAGTGCAGCACTCGTTGTTGCTCGCTTGCTAACCGCTGCAGTGCCCGCTGCCGCCGCAAGTTCCGTTTCTCTTGATGATTACGCCGCTTCTCCAAGCACTGCCGGTAGAGGTAGCAGCGACCCCGGCGACAATCACCCACCCCGACGCCAGCGTAAGTCGTGCCACCCGCACGCGAGTTTGGGCTGACAAACGATGTAGTCCCAGATGACGAGCCAGGGCCCTCTTCCTCTAAGCGCGTCAAGACGGGCGACGTCAAGCCATTGTGCTGCTGCCGCTGCCTTCGCCGCCTCTGCACCGACGGCAATGAGGCTGGCGACGAGATTAGCTGCCGATATCTTGTTGTGGACGGTGAACGCTCAAAACATTGTGAACACTGCTGGGAGGCGAAGCGCGCGGGAAGACACGGCTGTGTGCCAGTGAGTGGCGTCAGTTCCGCACGCGAACCGCAGACTGACTGTTACAGATGCCCACCGCGTTAGTTCCGCGGGCCAATCGCCTCTGGGAGGCCAACCTCGCCTGTGCGCTTGGGAAGGTTGGCGCTCCCTCCGTCGAAAATATCCAGGAGAGCGCAGATGCCCTCTCAAATGACATGCGTCTCGCCGGCGTGGACGCCGCGCGTAGGACCGCTGGCCGTCGAGCTCGTGCGCCCGGCGCGCGCTCCGGGCGCGGTGCCGGCGACATAGAGCCGCTGCTGGCCAGCATCTTGGATGCCATCCGAGCCGCAGTCGACTCCTACCGGGAGGTGGTATGCCTCGCCCGCTTCCCGCATACCAACCGTATGCTAACTCGCTGCAGAACAGGTTGGCGGGTCGACACTGGCCCGAGGAGGACTCGGACCCCGAGTCCGAGCAGGACTGATGTTCTTTCCTGCGGGTGGTTGTGCCAGAGTGTTGCAGGAATGCAAGATTGCTGCAGGGCTGCTGCAACATTGTTGCGAGACTATACTCGTGGGGCACGGAAATTGGTTCGGGTATATCTCGCCGTCGAACGGGATTTTTGCTTTATGGGATTCTGTGTCCACGGACCGACCCAGGATATCGCCAAATCAGGTCCGTAGCGCGTTCATCATATAGTCTCAGGATGGCAATGTTGACCTCGCTATGAGACCTGACAGTCTTTCGTCCAGCATGAGAAGGAAGCGGGCACCACTCACTCCGTCCGCCATATCTACTTAGCCTAATATCCAATTTCGTGGAAGAAGATACTTACTTGGTTGAATGAGAAAATTTACAAACACGAGGGGGAAGATAGATCTACGGCGCTCGAGTCATTCGCAACGTTAGACCGTCGACGACAACATCATGGGCTGAGGGGCTATCTCAATGGCAAAGCTTGTGAATCGAGTATTTCCTCCTATGCGGCTCCGGGGCCAACGCCATCGGTCGAAGGCCTCCCACCGATGTACATCGACGTGGGCGATCTCGACATCTTCCGTGACGAGGACCTGGAATATACCTGCCGCATCGCCGCCGCCAGCGTACACATCGAGCTCTACGCGTATCCCGGTGTCTACTACGGGTTCGAGATGCTGGCGCCCGCCATCTCTACCACGGCTCTTGTCATGGCCAGCCGGATCAAGGCGATCAAGTCGGTTTGAGGGAGGTCCTACGGCCGAAAATGATAGGTTCAAGGCAGACTCCAGAGCTTGAAGTGGTCGCTTATCGGGAGCAGGCCCGGCAGAAAACTCCGCCCTAGCTACCCACGCGTCTGCTAGCGGAGTAGTTAGGCAGGGAAATTGACCAGAGTGCGCTGAAGTGCCTCTGTACCCACCATATGTGCGTGTGTGTATGTGTGTGTGTGTGGGTGGGTGGCTGGGCATGCATGCGTGCATGGGTAATTGCGAACTTCTGCAAAAGATATTCATTCACCACCTTCGGGCAACGTGGGCAGGTTTTGTTACTACTCGTATTCGTCGAACTCATCTGGGATAATAAATGGACAGCCGGTTTTGTCGAACCGCGTGCCATGTTCGATGGTAATCATTCATCCGTGGTGTTTCGCAATAGTAGTAGGTAGGTAGTCCGTACGGAGCACACGGCCGGTGCATCGCTAGCCAGCCAGCCAGGCCTGGTGGTGAACGTTAGGTGACCGTGGTGGTACATTATAGGCGCCAGTAGTAGTGTACTCTAGGTGCCTATCGTGGTGAACTTCAGGTGCCCGTGCTGGTGCATTTTAGGTACTCGTAGTGGTGAACTTTAGATGCCCGTAGTGGTGCAGCACTCACTCGAGTGGTGCCGCCACCACCACCGCTACGGCGCCAACCGTTTGTGATATGGCGGTAGTGGTGCACCGCGCTCCTGGCCTGGCGTTCGACTTGCTTTCCGTTTCTCGCGACACTGCTTGCGCGCCGCATCCAGCATCACCACAACAGTCGGATCTTCAACCACCCACTCGCTCTGAACAACTGCAGTTATACGAAGTGCTGAAACTCGCAAAAGACGTCGCGACAGACAAACTACGTTTCACTCTAGATGATAAACCCATCTAATTCACCATTTCTAGAGAGTCATACGGAATTAATGACGCCATGGCGGAGCCCATCAAGGCAGGTAGGCGCCGTTGCACATCATTGCCTATCTCTGCCAGTTCCGAGCGACGAATGTTTTAGACAATTTGCCAGTTGAGAATAGCTCTCATACTCGGGACGTCTACGAGTGTTGTCCGGAAGCAACCTCGCAGGATTTAGCCGGCCCTGCCCTTCCCTCCACACTCAATCACACAGTCACCCACTCACTCTCGAGTCCTCGCCACTCTCACGGCCTGGGCGGCAGGCCAGACACGCTCAGCTATCACCAGTGTAACAAGACGCGGTTACGTATGGCTAAATGCGTAGTGACGTACCGCATAGCTGAGCCGAGCGATCGAATTGGGTGATACGACAAAGGGCAGCTTAGTGCGCCCTCCGTCCATCACCCAAAGGTATGGCTTGGCGCGACCGCGAGGTATTTATCCCAGGGCGTCAACATTGCAACTTGCTTTCTCTTTCTCTCTCATACACATTTCTCTCCTTCCATACCTTGGTCCTCTTGTGAATATATGCACATAGGCAATACACAGTTTGGAGCTTTCTCCTGGTCCTTGTGCCGTCCCGACACACCGATCTACCTTCCTCTTCTTTCTACCCTCCTCCGAACAAATCTTTTAGTCGGTAAGTTCCTCACTATCTTCCCACCTTTCACTCGCCTTTCATTCACCTCTCATCTAATAAATCTTTAGTTGGAAAATTCCCACGTCACTGAGGAGGTGTACGACCGAGTTTTCGGTCTCAACACCCGGGCTCAGTTCTTCGTCAGCCAACATGATCTGAAATACCCCGTCGGTAAAGGGGTTTGACGGATCAGACTCTGCCAAAACGATCGGCTGTGAAAGTCAGAATCGTCCTCTCTCGGAGAAAGTCGTCAACTTGCCACAGGCGTCTTTCATTTCACAAGGTGTCCGAAATCATCTTGCACAAAGGCGAAGCTCCTCACCTTGCTTTCCTCTCTAGGATGTTCTCTGCAAAGCACGATTCTACCACACCTGGTCGCCAAGCGCGTCTGTGGATAGGGAAAAGGCCTAATCAACACTGGACTTATTCATCCTCATCTCATCCTTCAACTCGTCTCCTATTTACAGAACCACCCTCCAGGACAGAGTCAGACAAACGATCATCCAGGGCGCGTCAACGGCCTGGAATCCATCATCCCGCTCGACCAGCCCGCACTACCTGTTCAACCAAGACTTCACCCCTGCTAATCCAGCCTCACACCTCTCCTCTCATGCCTGGGGATCTGGCCTCGCTGAGGGTGACGGTGTTGTGGTGAATGACGACCTCCTCGTGCTCGAAGGATCTGCGAGGGTAAAATTGAAGGTGAAGTTGACTGGCCTTGGGATGAACTGGCTACAAGATCGACGCCATGGAATCAACAAGCGGATTGGATTCCAGAACAGGCTTCTTTGACCGGTCGAACACACGACGTAATCCAACACCTTGTGGTGCAGCTCTGCTATAGCAGAGATCGAATAAAGGTCCCTCCGAGGTTTCGCAAACGAAACCTGGTCTCTCTGGAAAGAGCTAGCCGTGCTTCTAAGGACAAGGGCACATCCCCCGGAACTCATTGTGGAAAGGCATTCTTGCCTTTAACAACCTGCACCTGATCGGTCAGAAAGACATTTTTGCTGGCATCCGCGACCGAGTACCTATCCGTGAGCAGTTTATGCGGCTTGGCGCTTAACAAGCTCAAGGGACTTTTCTCTGCCTGGGATTGGATATATTGCCTCTCGGTGATGCCATGACATGGCATGACAAAAAGCTGTGCGAGCATTCAAGTTTCCACCTTGTCCATGGGGGCTTGATCTATTTCAGCACTCCGGTTGGCTGCGCCCCTGCAATTCATGAAGTATCCTACCTGGCTATTGGTGCTCCGTTATGCTATCCGTCGGATGTGAAGAAGTCCAAAAGGACGATCGCAAATACCCCTCCGCTTCGCAGAGCTGCTCAAGGAGCTAAGCTGAGGCAGAAACTCTCCCAGATATCGAGGCTTGGTCCATTCTTGGTCTGGAGCAACAATACGGAGAGAAAATCCAAAACAGCGGATAATGAAAAGGGTCTAACCGCCGCTGTGACACGGTCGAACAGGAAGGGGACAAGGTCACCTCAATAGCACAACGTCGTCGAACGCTGGTCGAACAATCAAGTCTCAGCAGCCTCTCCAGTTCGGAGTTCGGGAGCCCATCCAGCAACACACGTCGTCCCACGGTCCTGCAACCGCTCCGCACAGTTCATATTGTGCTGCACACGGACGCTGAACATGCAGTGCCCTGGACAGATGCAGCCACAAAAGTAAATTGCCCTCAACACAGGCACCGGACACATTGCCTCGAAAACACAGTGCTCTGCACACTGGCACTTGCCCTGAGCACAAGAACCGGACACACGGTGCCCTGGGAACAGATTAACTCGAAAAAACAGTGGCCGACACAGGCATCGGGCACAGGCACCAAACGCGCAGTGCCTTGACACCCATTTCCTCAAAAGAACATTGCCCTAGGCGGAGGCTCTAAACGCAACAAGACTCAGATCCTTCTTCGATATGGTAACAGGAGAGACGATGGACTACCGGTAGCCTGACCAGCAATGGTAGTCTGGCCCAACTGCGACAAGCCAGCCGAATTCACCATTCCTCGTTGACGCTATTGTGACCCTCGGCGACTTCGACTCCAGCAAGATATATATATATACATGAGGTTTGAAGCCCATGATGTCCTTCAAAGACAGCAACAAGAGAAAGGATAGGCAGCTCGTCTTTGAGAGCACGGATAACCCCTCCGAGCCCGAAGTGAGATGACCCCTCGGTCTTGCTGCCCTAGGCGATTTCGACTCCAGCGATGCCTAAAGGAGGTTTGATACTCTGGATGACCTTTAGCCATAGGGATGTTCACAGTCTGCGAGAGATCGGCACCACGGTTCCCTCTCACCACCATCCTGATCACACCTTGTACCATCGAATTTAAGCTTGATATCAAATCTCCTCCACGAATGACCGTCGAAACTTGGATAATGGCGAGCTCTAACACTGGCGCAGGGGTATGGGGATGTCAGTGGCGATCAGACTAGACGGAACTGCCGCTGTTAAACGCAACTCCGATCGGAACAGAGATATCGTTTCTCAGTGCCCACCAAGTCTTCTGGACCTTCTTCACCCAGTTCCGAGACCAAATCAAGGAAACACTTGCATTGGTGTAAAGCGTTTACGGGCTTCGGAATACAACCCTTCTTAACACTTACTCCGAACATAGCAGGCAGGATATTTTGTCTTCTAGTCCAGCACCGCCATCAGATATTATCTCCCCGCCAACATCGATCCGCATGCTCAGTCCATCGCCACCCGACCTCTAAAGGACCTGACAGACGATGAAGCAAACGCAGAAGAGATAATTACACTCTGTGCTATCGGAGAAGGTCTGCAGTCCGGATGGCACGATGCATACTTTCTTTAGTTGGAGCTTATTATCGCTCACGACGAGGCGATTCGAAAATTCCGCATTTGGTCACCAAGTCGAGCTCCTTAATCGCGAAGTCACTAAAGAGACTAGTGCCACGGACAGAGATCCACACTCTTGAGGTAAAGCTGTTATACGCAGATGAACGTATGCGTAGTATCAACGAGGTGCTAAAAGAGCTCGAAGGAGGGCGCGTCGAACCCAAAGTCGCAGAATTCCTTAGGGAGCGGCATGACCGTTAAGCACACGAAGGAATTCAAGCTGCCAGACTCACAGTCTAAATGGGATGATCCAAAGTTCAAAGGTACCAGGCATTGTGAGACCATTATGCTCACTGCATGCTCTGTCGATCAATGGCCTTTTCCCGCTTCCACCGACAGTGCCAGAGCGACATTAGATTGTTTCAAATCCCGTGAAATTATCGTAAATCCGGATTGCATTCACCTTGCCAGCAAGGATTCGGGAATCCGGAATGTCTTCCCATTCCTTTCCCCGGCTTCGACGTACAAGTCAGAGGATTTATGGACGATGAAATCCCTCTCTGACGATGAGATTATCAAAATCCTTACCGCGGGATTGAACAATATGCACGACATTGACAAATGTGCGGAAGAACTGATTCACTTGCACTTTAGCCTTTAGCTTTGAGGACCTTTGAATCCTCACAACGCACATAAAGTCTGGCCCTCTCTCACTCTACTCTCTCGCAGATCACACCGTTCATCTCTCTACACATCTCTCAAATCAACAGGGTCGATTCTTGATTGGTGGTTTAACGAAATCGGTCAAAAATGTCCCAGTCCAATACCCTCCCAATCCACACTGCGCCGTCGCAGACGGCATTCCGTACCCCATCTCCTCCAGGCCGTCCAGGAAGCCCCAATACGAATGCAAGCCCCGGCCAAGGAGTAATCAATAGACGAAGTCCATACCAGCTGGATCCGGCTCAGGCAGAAAGCGACCGTGGCTACGATGGAATCATCACCGCCCTAGAACAGGTCACTTCAAGCACAACCCTAACAGTCAAGTTCGAGGGGGCTTTTCACAAGGATAAATTAGGCGCTCCCGTCATTAAGGGGCAGACTATGTCTTTTAGTAAAGCTAACGCCGAGATTGTGATGAAAAGCGTGCTTGAAACGCGCAGACTCATTGCACGAATCATCAAGATTGCAAACAAGTTCGATCCCAGTGGACCTGAGCTCGAAAAGGTTCGCTCGATTGATGAATACCTTCGATGCACGATAAATCTACATCACATGCTGTCAGAAGAAGCGCTCAAGATGACAAGATGCCTCCAGGAGGTAAAGGATCACCGACAAAAAATGGACAATAAACAATTAGCTGATGTTCGGGAACATGTTCGGTCCAGTATGCGACTAGGTAAGTCAAAAGCATGTCTCACTGTGCTAGGATGAGTAACTTAGTCTAACCTCGGATACTAGGGATGACGCCAATGGCGAGCTCATCCTTCCTACCCATGGTCAACACCAGCGGAGGGTATTTCCGGTTGCTTGACGGCCATTTCAAACATCACGTAAGGCTGATGCAGCATGCACAAATATGGCGAAACGAGGTCGTCAATGCTGCCAAAGACGGTACGCCTATGAACACAATGTTAAATCTATTCACCTTGAAGACGGCAGCAAACTGCCTGGGATTGACTGGGATCGGGAACACGTTCGAGAAGAGAAAGCAACTCCGAAAGCAGGCAATCAAGTATTACGACATTCGAACAAGGCTCGGCGGTGATGACAACGAACACGCACCAGATCAGCGCTCCAGTGTTGAAGGGTTGACCATCACCGACCCGGACAACTTGGCAAGCCAAGGGGAGGGGCCACCAGATGAGGCGTTTTGGTGCCCAATTCTCAAACGCTACTTCGAGCCATGTTGGATCAGAACAGCACACATCATCCCAGCAAAAACGCCGGAGATGATCCTCATACGGACCTTCGGAGAAGTAAACGCTGCAGGTCTTTTGAATTCGAACCGCAACCTACTATGTATCCATAAACGTCTCGAAATAGCGTTTGATAAGGGCCAAATTACCATTGTTCCAGTGGCACCACGATCCTCACATTCAGAGGGGCCAACCGAGTTCCGAGTCTTCTTCATTGACCGCTCGCTGGTCTACTCACATTCAATTGCTCTTACTATTGTCGCTACGAGAGAGAACATTTACTGGTCTGATATCGCAAAAGACCCGGTGTTACAGTTCAAGAACGACAATCGACCAGGCCAACGGAATCTATTTTGGCATTTCATCACCAGTTTGACCAAGGCAAAGAAGGGAAGCTTTGTTGGTCTTGCCGATGCCCTGGAGGAGATTGATAGAAAAGAGGTATGGCATCTACCTCAGCCAGCGCCCTGGATCGAGAAGGGAATCTTGAAAAGTATGGCCGAGCAATACCTCATGCCGCAAATCTTCATTGAGTCCGCGACGTTCAAGACAAACGCAAAGAAGCTCCACAAGATGGAGGACGATTTGGCAGGCCTTGCTGTATTCAAGCTTTCATCGCCTAAAATCAGGTCGATCTTCGGGGATGAGTACGACGCTGATGATGTGGCGGAAGGAATGCCCCCTAACTTCGGCGTGGACGAGTACTACTCGCCTCAGAATTTGCTTCCGTTGGCTGAAAATCCTCTCCCAACACATTGGGAGCGTGATGGTTCTCCCACGCCAGGGGCTCGTCTGGCTGACACGATCAAAAGAAGGGCCTCAGATGCTCTCTCGACCACGGCACGGATGGCCTCAAAATCATATGGTAGAGTCGTCAGTCTCTCTCTGCGTCCTCGCAAGAAACGAGGCTAGCTGGGATGTCCATAGTTCGGTAGTGGAGTCTCCATACTTCCAGCAGATAGCGGACCCCTGGTAGCAAATTCATATGTCCCTTTTTTTCATGTCACGTCTTTTTCTTCTCTTCTTGTCACTCTGGGTATGTAAATTTGGGCAGCAGGATTTCACCAAACCCCGATTTCGCCCAGCACGTTAGTATGCGTCCTGGGACTGGCACCTTTCTCCTCCACCACCTATAATGTTTTGCCAGACCCAAGGTACAAACAACTTCCGGCATTCCTGACAACATTCTGGCGCATATTCACACTAGGTAATATCAGTCCACCTGTTGCTCGATAGACATCTCATCATCTACCTGACCTTGATCTTTTTGGACCGACAGCTTGTCCATGCGAGCGGCCTGGACCTTCCACCACGTTCGGAGTAGTAGGTCATTTGGATTACTTGACAGAGACTTAACTCTGGATCTTTCCGGAAGGGAGAGAGGAACAGCCACAGCCTAAGTGACTTCTGTGCCGCACGATCTGGAAGATGAGGGAAAGTCTGAAGTGAAATTCAGTGCGGAGTCACACCAGGAGGAGTTTAGAGATGTCGCCATTGAAGGCTTGAATCGATTGCCAAAACCTGGGTGCGGATGGAGGCAAAAAAAAGTCCAATAGGGGACAATCGTCCGGGGAGGCATTCTTTTCACTATGGACTGCAACAATGATTCCCATCATTTCTTCTTCACATTCGGACTCCTCTTTATACGACTTTATCACGCCAGTCTTTCGCTCCAGTCAACTGACACGCAGGGTCCTTCAAGCCTGGGCGTGCAGCCGCTGGTTCTTCCACACTCCCATTGATGGACATGCCGGGCTGCATGGACACCATCGTGGGGATGATCAAGAAGGGAAGGAGGGTCACGCTGGTGGGCAAGGACGTCTACGTATTCATGGATCGAATCATGGACCCCCATGAGTCACGACAAGACGTACGGCATCAGCACGCTGTTAATTATCTGGGTCGCAATCATTAGGCTACAGGCACGGAAGTGTTGTGGGTATATAGTAAAGCACCATGCCACACACGATGGGTTTGGACGTTGAACTCGCGAGTTTTATCCGCTCAGAGACACAGTGACTGCACAGCGCCGCAAACTACGCAACCTGATTGGCGGAATCCCCACAAGCGCAAACTGCCCCGATCACAAGGGGGGAGAGAATTGTCGAAAAGACCTCTACGGGTTCAAGGAGACACCATAAACGGCCCAGTCCACTTACCCAACCCTCATGATCCATCTCGACGCGCCCTCGTAGCGTACTGCACAACATGGATGGATTCTTAAATGCGCTTCACGAAGATACCCCGAACCAGGGACCGAACTTAGGAGACATCCGAACGCAGATATTTGCGAACAGCGAGACACTGCCCTCGCCGGGTCTGTTGTTGGGACCCAACGACAGCATCGAGAATTGGGCAACACTCGACCACCGCATGGAAGCCGCCTTTCGGCAACTCCTAGTGACCCACGAAGCAACCCATCTAAGGGTCCCTCCGGTCCAGTCGACGGCGGGTATCACTCCCGTGGGCTCTCCTAGCGTCCACACGCCAGGGACCAGTGTCCCGGCCGGCCAAACTCTCCGAGTACCCTCAACGTTCCTGGGGCCAGCCCAAGCGCATCTTTCCTGACCATCCCAGGCGTTATGCACCCTCCGATATACAAAGCACATCGCAAGGGGGATCTCGCTCAGGCTTGGATCCTGTTCATGGAAGAATCGCTCCAAATGAAAGAAACACTTCAACATCGACACCCATCTCGAGAAGAGGAAATAGCCCTCGCATTGCCCTTTCTCGAGGAGCACACAGCTAGGTGGTGCGCCCTCACAATCACACGCGAAGTCGCTCGACCTGATGTCGAGAAGCTTTGAAATCCTCATGATGAACTTCCTTATACCATTGTATGCCTTGATACTATTTTAGAGCACCAGAATGGCTTCAAAGACAACAATGGTGTGATTCGATGACATATTCAGATCTTGGGACCCGCTGACCGTACATCACCCGTGGCTTTACACCATACGTCGACTTCTTCATTCCCTTGTTATTGCGAGCGGCGGGTTTTCGCTTTACGCCACGACGGTACACCACATTGCCCTGTTCCAAGCATCCTCCGCGTCACGGGCGTACAATATACAATTCTTCACGGCGATAGTACGGGTGGAAACTCTGATATGCCCCGATCTCTAGACGTATCTAGAAGGCCCATTCATTCCCTCACTGCTGCTCCCTTATCTCTTTCGACCGTCTCTCACAGCCTTGAGTCGAGAAGGCCAGAGAGTCTCTGTTGCTGTCCGGCGTCGTCGACCAGATTCCCCATCGTTACCTTCTACCATTGCCCCTCAACCTAAGATATCTCGGGCATCTAGGGGACCAAAGACCAAGGCTCTTTCTCTCTTCTGCATCCGCGTCACCCATTGTTTGCTGTTGCATGTTGGTCGTTCTCGTCTGTGTGTGTATGTGTGCGTGCGTGTGTGACCAGGAAGGTACAAGCCAGTCAAGACGCACAAGCCTCAAGTAAGATTGTAAAGACGACTGTAAGGTGCCCATCAATGTCTTCGAAACCACGCTGCGGCATTTTGGAGGGTTGCACCAACCCGTTTTCTGCAAGATAGCTCTGGAGGCAGGTGTGCGTTAGGAAGTGTGCAGGAGGAGCGGCGATATGTGGCTTGTGGCCATGAACAAGTGGCAGACTGTCACAGAGTCGGAGATCACCACCGTAGGTTTTCCACGAGTACGTCTTCAAATGTCCAATCAGATCACTCTTCGAGAAATCCCTCGGAGGGAGGAGCTCATGTGCCAAGAATGATTCATCGTCCTCGCTGTCTGAACTGTCGTCACCAGTGTATATGGATTCCGTCGGCTAGCGGACCAGGTTGTGTTGCTCGAGAACATGGCTGCTGGGGTTGGAGTGGTGACTGAGCAGGCTGCGGCGGCTTTTCAACATGACCGCCGCTTGGCCAACCTCAGAAGACGGCAGAGACGCAGCCGGCGACGCCAACGGGATCGATGGAACTTTCTCTGCTCGAATGGCTTGCACATGGTCTGGTTGGTGATGGCGTTGGGCACCAGCAAAGGCTGACGTCCGTGGACATGTCAATCGACCCGTTGATGAAGCCGTCGTCTTGCCCCTAGCGGACGCGAAGAGCACAGCCACGACCAGCCTCCCCTGCTCGCTGAACGTGAGACCTTTCCACAGTAACCAAAGAGGATGCATTCCGCGACACCTTTCTGTAGTAGTCAAAGAGGAGACATTTTGCGATCTCTTTCCGCGATAACCGATGTGGAGAGATTCTGCGATACCTGCCCTATTAACCGAGGGGGAGGCATTCTGCGATGCCTTTCCCCAGTAACAAGAATGGAGGCATTGTGCGATATCTGCCCTATCAACCAAAGGGGAGGCATTCAGCGATGCCTTTCCACAGGAACCAAAATGGAGACATTGTGCGATGAGCTGCTCGACCATAGGACACGGTCACGATGGCGCGGCCGAGCACCCTCTCTGGTAGAGGCTCGCGGTCATCTCTGTGAGGGCGGACGAGCTGCTGTCGAAGTTCATGGCCGCGGGCACAATGATGGCAGGGATCGGCTGCGGCTCCCTGCTCCTCATCCTAATGGACTTCCTGTACTTGATCTCCACGCTGCCCATCATCATGGTGTTGCGCATCTGCATGTACGGCTTGCCGATACCGTGCTTGCCTGTGGTCGAGTGGGCGATCTTGTCCAAGGATCTCTCCACCCACAAGCGCCAGTACGTCAACATCATGGAATGGCTTGCGGGTTATCGACCAGCATCAGGAATGACTCAGAACACGGCGAAGCGAACACGGACGAGGAACAACAGCACCCAGACGGTGACTCAATCCCAGTTCTGGTGGTAGATCAAAAAGGGTTGTGTTGAACTGAGGAGGACTGAGGACTCGTCGGTTTGTCGACGGTTGAAACTGTGCTGTGCCGTCTGAGGGAGATCTCACTCGAGAAGTCCTTTTGTGGCACCCCCAGACAGGCGCGATTTGATCAGCCAGGTGAGAAACGCGAAAACCCAAGGCGACGCAAGCAGCCTTCGCCAATCCGATGAAGAGCTCGCACCCTCCGAGCAATTCTCGAAGGCGAGGTATTTTTCGTGGCCAGGGGAGCCTGCGCTGGACCTTCGACTGTTCCGGCGAACGCAACGGATTCGGGCTTCTGCTACCCTCTGAGGGTCGCCCGTCTTGTTCGGCCCGATGCCCGGCGATAAATGGCGAATGTGCATCGATTATCGTCTCTCGAACAGCGTCACGAAGAAAGACGCTTATCCTTGATCTCGAATTCAAGACTGTCTGGATCGCATTGGCCACGTTCAACTCAACACCTCTCGAAGGTTGAACTGACCTCGGGATGGGGGATGTCATCGAATCGAGATGGCCAAGGGATTAATCTCGAATGTTGCCTTCAATACTCGTTCCGGGAAGTACGAATGGGTTTCTAGGCCCTTCAGATGAGCGAATACACCCTCCACGCTTCAAAGGACCATCAACGACACACTCCGGGGCCTTATATACAAAGGATTCGTGATTCTTTACTTGAATAATATCACTGTGTTTTCACCGTTGACAGTAGAGCATTATGACCACCCTCCGAGGTCCTCGCCCTTCTCAAGCAGAACGAACTGTATGCGACACCGTCGAAGTGTGTTGTCGGAGTCAAAGAATTACAATTCTATGGCTATCTCTTATTGTCTTTGCCCTCTCACATAGTCTGAGCACTTGTGGAGCGCAACACTCTCAACGCCTTTAACAGACCGGTCTCTTGTCCACATTGATGTTCGACAGTATGCCACGGGAGGTAGTGCCACCGCATATTGCTCTAGTCCTTTGCTCTTCACCCCCTCCCATAGTCTGCGCACATGTGGGTCGCAACGCCTTCAACGCCTTCAACAGATTGGTCTCGCGCCCGCCACCAGCGCCGAGTCATACCACGTTCAGGACCATTCCACCAGAGGTTCTACCACCGCATATTGCTCCAGTCCTGTTCTCCTCACCACTTTCTTGTTGGCTGTATTCACATTGGAGGGATTTCCGTCCAGCGGAAGGGTGAATACCAAGCACTTGCATTCCTCCAATAGCTTCCTCCTCACCTCCGCCTTGAGCTTCTCATCTCGTTGTCTCGCCTTTTCCCCTTCTGCACTCATCATCCGGTTCTGCAACTCTTTGGCCGTCGCGGCCAACTTGACCCGCTTGAACCCCTCGTGTTTCAAGGTGAAGTCCACGCGACGTAGGCCCTCCTCGGCGAATTCAAGATAAGGACGAGCCCATTCCTCAGAGAGATCAAGGTCAATCGGCCAGTCAAAGAATGTAACATTAAGGGTCAGGTGTCGCAGTGCAGTCGCCTGATTCCGGACCTGTCTTAAAACCATTACCCATTTCGCATCGTGTCTCAATTTCCACTTGCGGTCCGCCATCCATTTGGGTTCCGCGTACCCGATGTGAGTGATCTCCAAGGCTCCGATGCTCTCACGAGCTGTTTGAGAAATAACCTTGAGGAAATTGCGCAACACAACGATTCGGTCGAAGCAGAAAGTGGTTCGGGAATAGATGAACTTGCTGGCTTCCTGTTTCATCTGATGACAGCCCCAAAGGAGAGCAGTCGCAGTTGGGTTTCCAGAGAACTGGCCAAGGAGACGGTGGGGTGGTAGCTTGTGTTTCTTGGAAGGTTCTCTTTGCCTCATCAACTCGAGTTCCTTCTGAGGATGATTTGCTGAGATCATGACTCGAGCTTCGGGGACGACCAGATGATAGATCCGGTCCCTGATCTCAATAGGTAGCTCGAAGAAGGGGAACGGTTTCGAGAAGACTTCGGCGGTCGGGTCAGGAAGGGGATGACGCGTCTCCGCTTGTGGCCGGAGAGAAGATGGGCCTTGAGGCTGGGGGATTGGACGGAGGATATGCCATCGATTGCGGTGAGGAAGGTAACAATAACGCTTCGATGAAGACATTGTCATTCTTATGTGGTGCAGTCTGATGCCCGAGGTAGTGTATGCGAAAAGGACGAGGGCTGTGTGGGAAAAGTGGCGCAGTTGAAAATTTGTGGCGGGTGTCACGGTTCCGCCAAGACCCGGTTGGCACGTGGCTATTTGACTGTCCGCCTGCGAGCTGTACCTCGTCGCAGGCCAGATCACTCAGATTGGCTCCACGAGTTCGTGCTCATATCATTCGCGCTGCACAGTGTGCTGGCACAGTGACAGCGGGTTCCATGATTCCTGCAACTTCGGTGGACAACCATTTGAAGCGAGACCGTCCGTCTTCCCCTGGTCTCAAGCCCCGCGAGCCTCTGATATTGGGGGCAGGAGAAAGTTCTGGACAAAAGATCTCAATCTCAGTCCGTAAACGTCGATCCTCCAGTTGAAGAGGTGCTTGGACCTCTGTCTGCGATCCCTTATCAATCAGTTAAAGTGAACCAGCCAATGGAATGGACGATTCAGTGGCTGCCATCATTTCGAGAACCCTTGTCGACACTCTCAGCGAGACAGACTTCTCATACGCCCTACCAGCCTTTACCCATCCCTACCTTCGTCCATGCCTCCCCTTGCCTTCCCTGGCCCACTCACTCAGAAACTCAAGCGAAGACAGAAGTCACCTCCAGAGAAGGGACAAGATTGGGAACAATCCTTCTCGCTCCAATCAATGACAAAGCAACTTGTTTCAACACACGTACCAACTCGGGTGCTGCTTGCGTGATACTGTGGCGGTTATCCGAATATACTGGCTATTCGACCACAAAGACGTCGAGCCCATGGCGGCTCGGATCAAAAGAATCTTGGTGTGGTCCAAAGACTGCAGGCTCCAGTCCCTTGGCCTGTTGAGCGTGAGTGATAAGCCTGCGAAGCCCGACACGGACAACACAGCGCAGAACAGTGCGCCGTACGAGCTTGCTAGCTTCAACACCGCCCCAAGCAGCCCCCCAAGCATCGTCAAAAGTGTCATGGCGGAAAGCTGGCCTCCTGGGGTCGGACAGTCTGGCCAAAGCTAAGGAGAGAAGGGATCACATCTGCCTGGACATACAAGTGGTCTGACCAAATCGGGCATGGCGGAGGAGTTTACTACGACGTTGTGCAAAGTTGGTTTGCTCCATGAAGATAACGAGTACTCCTCTAGCTTGATTGCGGCTTGGTGGAATTGGCAACCATTCCTGAGATCTGCCTCTGTCTGTCTCTGGTCCTTGTGACTAGTGCCCTGTGCCTTCTCTGGCTTGTTCTTGTTCTTGTTCTTGCTCTTGCTCTTGTCCTTGTTCCTCTTTCTTGTTACCCTATCCCGACCTCACAGCGACCATGACAGTGACGGTGATGTGACCTCACTGTGGCCGTGACGTGGCGTCCGCCGGTCAAAGCAACCAAGCAAACAACGAACGAACGAGACTTCTCCGTCATCGTCGCCGTCACAGTCATCAGCAGCAGCATGCCGCTCGCCTATCGTTGCCTTATCCCCGCTCAGAAACCGGAACGGAACGAACCCCAGCTGAGATAAGCTAAGCAGTGCTCTGTCTGTCTGTCACAGTTCGGTTAGTTGGTCACATCGATTAGGTAGGAACTTTCGGGCGGTCCTGCAGACCCCTTTGCACTGTTATCAGGAGGTAAAGCGAGACTCGACGAGTGGCAGGCACCTGCAGCCTGGTCTTTCTCGGTCAGGCCGGGTGGGAATCTGGGGAAGAAGCGAGCACGAGGCTTGTTTTGCGACCAGCACAGTGGAAGTGATTGCAAAAGGGATATATATGGTTATGAGCACACTAGCTATGCCTTGGGTCACCGGTGGGTACATGTTATGGTCCTGTGCCTAGATCACCTGATCAATGTTGATGAAGGACGTGCTACGGAATGTGCTATTTCAATCCGAGTGGGACTCTCCCTTCGGCTTGCGAAGGAACAATCCGCACTACGCCCCCGCCATGTTCTCAGCCCAGCTCGTCGCGAAGTCTCTGCTGGACGTGGCTGGATCCTGATATAGGGCACATGGACACTGACATAGCCCGGTGTGGCTTTCGGTCACCTCGTTCTTTCGGCGGTATCTCCTGCGTCTTCTGTGTGGCACGACTTGGTCGTCAGGACGGCACGGGCGCGCATGGATGCTGACTCTCTGATGTCCACACCATCTCCGTCATGTGGTCCTCGGTGGGCCTTGCAATTCCGGGCAATTCTCAAGATCGAGGCAGCTCGCATCCACAGCCGCGTGGGTGAGTTGCTAGCCTCCCTTCCAGAGAAGTCCAGAAAAGCATCTTTGCCGGACGAATGCCGGAGGCCTCCAAGTGATTCGCAGTCGGGTGATGGCTGGCCGGAGAGCAGACATTGAACCTGGGAGTCCATCCATTCTTCCCCGATGCCACGCTCTGACCTGCACCGAGGCCTTATGTTCAGATTCTGTGATCCAGGAGGCCTGCTCCCCCCACCTTTCTTATTCACAAGTCCCTCACAAGCATATTAGCCTTCAGTGGTGTTACTGCTCATTCCTCGGGAGATGGCTTTCCCACTTCTTCCTGCCACGGAAGTCACCTACCGTGGAAGCACCAGAGTCATGGACTCCGCATCGAAGGATAAGCTGCTGACAGAGCTTTGGGCCACAATTGAAGCGCCAACTACGAAACGTAGAAGGAGCAATCCCGCGTTCGGATCGTCAACGATCGAGCATTTGGACCTTCACCACTCTTTCAGCCCAAACTGTTACCACTTACCGATGATGTTTCCCGACTTGCTCTGCATGCTCCCTTGTTTCAGCACGGAGGCGCTTCCTGAGCGTGTTATCAATCACAAGAGATCACTCTATGAGCTGAGCGTCCCACGGGTGTGGAATTGCTGCCTCGGTCCTCATAGGAGAGAAGGTATCGGTGGCTCATGGTGTGTCAGGGCGCTTCAGATGCTGTATGTCGAAGCTTGGTAAGGACCTGTGATGCCCGAATTGCACATTGCCTTCTCTTGTTCGATCGACAATACATTTGCGGTCCTGGGCAAGCACTGAATTGGCCTCGGTCAGATATATTGCATGTCACAACTGCGCAGGTTTCATCTTCGCAAGGACGACCACTTCAGCAACTTCCTTGTCTAGATGGTTTCCATTTATAAATGCGATGTTGCTCATTTGCTTCCAGTGGTCAAATCTGCTTCGGAGGTTTTTTGTGTCAAGGAAGACACACTTCCTCCCACTCTGCGTGCAGCAGCCGGGCTGGCTGTCAACATCGCATGCAAAAATGGCTTGCTGATCAAATCTCTAAAGACGACACTCGAAAACGCCCCTTGCCGGTTCGAAGACGATGGGTCCGCAGTGCCATAATCGATGACCTTACGTTGACGAATCTGAATTCCCGCCGTGTCAGCTCGGCCAGACGTTGGCACGCCAACTTCTGCCGTCCAGAGGGAACAATCGCCCGCAAGTTGCTGGACAGTCCTCGACCTCTCCACTAGACGTGGTTAAACCAAGCTATGATTCACGGCCTGCAACGCCGAATCCAAGTTCCTGAAAAATGACGCCAGTGCATCCTCTCAACCATGTCAGAGCCAGCTGTCTGACGTACCGTCACCGATGTGCTCCTGGTGTGGATCGCTTTCTTTGGGTGTGGAGGACACCTGCTCAATGGCCCCAAGTTTGCCAAAGAGCAGCTTGAGAGTGCCGACACATCTAGCGAGAAGGTCGGGAACGAACATGCACTCGGTGCATTGTTGGCGCGGGTAGTTGACGCCCTCAGGAGGGACACTGAAGTCCATCCTCAACAGGCGTGCCTTGCCTTTCAACCTGCTTTGACCACGCTAACCTCATGCCAGGGCATGAGGACCGTCCCCGAAGCTCCTGTCTACAGGTCTTCAATCTCGAGGGTCTCCTGCGCCTGCTCTCTGGTCCCCGGGCATGTCCTCACCCGCCATCTTCTCGGAGACAAAACGCGGATAGCTGGAGGAAATCTAACCAGAGCTGTTTGCAGTTCTTCCATAAATACTGCGATGAATGACGTCCGACGAACTGGATTTGAGCCTTCCAGGCCGATGTGGGCACAGAAGAGGGTATCTCTCGGCCCGAGATGGACAGTATCTTACACAACGTACATTAGCTACCTTTCTTTGTTGGGTTCCAGTCAGCCATCAAGTGGCTCGCTTCCTTAGAGTAACAACGTAATCTTTCTACGGCAGGTGTCTTTGATTCCCTCTCCTCTCCTTTCTCGTGGGAAATGGCAGGGAGGCAGGCGGTGAAGGAAAGAAAGTCCCCCGAAGCTCTGCATTGGGTCAGATCTCGTCGTCTCGAGATCAGATGTCCCAGGGGGAACTGCTCACGCATGAGATAGATAAGATAGGGAAGGACGAAGATCCCGTTCCAAGACTCCGATAGCTAGCTCCACTGATGCCAATAGCATACATACATGTTTGCCTCTGGCCAACAAGAACCATGCACGTCTTCCCGGTTTGTCTCGGGGTCCAGTTTCGCCTGCCATCCTGGCGCGCGATATAGATACTTGGAAAAGACTTCTTCCGCCCTTCTTGCTCGATGCGCCGCTGCTTCGTGTGCATCCCCTGCTCTGCTCTGAGTGGCTTTCCTTTCTCGATCCTCACGCTCATGCCCCATTGAAAAGTGGATTGGTTGCGGTCTCACGATGGGGAGGCTTGATTCAGCTCAACTGAAATGAGGACACTGGGTCAGTGCTCCGTGCGGGCGGCGACATTGTCATTGCCATTATGAAATGGATGACGTCGGCTAAACTCAAGGCCATGGCAGGCAAGACCCCGTTCTGCTCGATGGGCGAGTCCCTGCAAAACGGATAAGACATCCTCTTCCATGTCAGTCAGTCGCCCTGGCTGAAAGCGACATCTTCAATTTCCCAGCCAGCCACGGGCGAAGTTATTCATTCCGTTGGGGACAAGCCATCACCCACGGGCTATATGGTTGCATTCTTTGCGCGGGTTTTCATTGAGCCAGCCTTCCGGGAGGCAATTTGGCAAGCCACGGGAAGAGGGGAAGGGAGAGCGAGGCAACTGTTGGGAAAGCGAAAAAGTTCCAGAAACAGCCTGGTCACGAAATGGAAAAGCAAGCTGGAGGGATCAACGATGGACTCTACTTATTGCATACAGCGCTTGGGTTTTCATGTTCATTCGACGAGCCAAGGACCGGACCGCCCGGGATTTGGCTGATCAGTGTGAAATTCAAGGAAGAGAGATATCCAGGACCTCCCTCCCTCCCTCACAGTCCGTCCTCGCGGCCGGTTGAGATGCGATGGTGGTGCCGTCACACGAAAGAAGCCTGCTATCCTCTTCGTGTCGACGTCTCTCCACGGGTCAAAAAAGGTGAGTGAGTGTCAGGTTTTCCTATCACGAAGACTCAAAATTGAGGCCCACCTCAGCCCACCTTGAAAATTCACGCCAATGTCTTTCATGCCCACAGTCTTTCCAGAATGGGCGCGTATCGCGCGATAATCTTTCGTATTTTTATGGTGTTCCAGGATACCCACCCCGTGTCGCAACAAAGGGTCAACATTCGGACGTGTCATCGATTGAGTTTTGCAGGCCTGTTCACTGGAATCAGGAACAGGACGAGCATTGTAGCCAACGTGAGTGTACAGCAGGCGGCGGAGATGACAATTCGGACATCTGATGTGGTTGACTGTCTTCATTGGGTTTCATTTGAGCTGAACCTCGCCGGTCTTGAGCATTGCAGCGTCAGTTTGGGCAGCTTCATTTTCGGTCTTGACAGTGGCTTCGCCGTCTTGAGCGATCTTCGGTTTCTCGGCTTTCTGTTCGACTTCAGGGACAGCAGTCTGCATCCGAGCGATCTTTTCATCTTGGTGTATGTCGAGAAGGACATCATGAACGATGGTTTCGATTGAATGTTCCACCAGGTACGTGATCTGGGTCCAGTCAGGGGAAGGAGCACGATGCAAGCATTTCTGGCCCACTCACCGCCTGGTCTTGATCAGACGCACTCAAGCTGACATCGGACGACTTGGAAAGTTTCGGGGAAGCCATGGTAGGAACGTCCTTAACCCGAGGTGATCCTGGGGGCGGTTGTGGGGATTGCATGCTGGGCACTGGGAACACCACCGTCGCCGCACACAAGATATATAAGTATTGAAACCAATAGATATTGTGTTGCCGGCAGGCACAGAGACTTACGCTCGACTGACAGCGACGAATGATTGCCCACTGGGCCTTACCACGCCGACTTTAACCGCAAGTCTGACCAGGTGTGCAATGCCACGATTCCACCCTTTTCTTGTCCAATGCCGGCAGGCATCCAGAGGCCAAGAGAGAGGGAGGAGAGAGATTGATCGGAGAAATCGAGAAGGTTGCCGACTGACCAGGTGCGATTTCAGGGTCCTGCAATCTGTCAGTTCCACAGTTCCACAACTTGCAATGGAGGCTGTTCACAGATGATTTCAACGTCACAGAACGATGAGATTGAGGGCATCTAACGAGTAGTTTGATGGTGTTGAGATGAAGTGATCATGAGTTAAGTTGGTGGGCGGCAGCGAGGCGGAAAATTGTCAGTGTATTGCAAAGGCAGGAACTGGGAGCGGTATAACTATGATCCCCCAAAGTCACGTTATCTGTCTTTATCAGAAGCGTCGCGCTCCGTTTACCTTTGTCGCTAAGGTCAGCTCAGCTAGCGCCTCGCTGGATTAGAGTGGCACGGACGCCTGGAGTGACTTCTGTGCACACGTCCAAGGCGTAGTTGACGTGAGGGCGCGGTAGGGGCTCAGCGAGGTCTAGTTGGCCGAGTTTCACTTGGATAATGTGACACTAGACGAACAAGCGAGGTCTATGTCGAAGGCGGTCCTGCGCCTCGACTCAATTCCTCAGGAGGACCACTACGTGGCTTTCATGGCTTTCGACAGGACGCTCTTGGATGGTGACCTGCTGAATGTGGTGAGCCAAGCGTAGGTCGCATGACCGACGAAGGGCATCGGAAACGGCGAGGAAAGATAGATCTGTGGAGTCGCCCGGCTTGGTTTTAGATACTCTGGATGAAAGAGAATTGGGTGCTTAAGAAACAGATGAAGGATTCCAGAACACCTTGGATGGACGGCAACCAGAATGAACATTGAAAGCATGCTCACTAACAACCACACAATTTTCCCCAGAAAGAACACGGGTCAAAGCTGCGTTGCTTCCTTCAGAGCTACTGTGACCACACCTATCATCGCCATGTGGCAGAGTGTGTTTTCATTGCTGCTCTGACTAGATTTGGTGTAAAAGGGAGCTATCGAGGTTGAGACAGGCCGTGGTCTGCCGCCTGGCCTTTCCCAACGCCCATCTAGACACTCAAGGGCGGTGAGATGAGATGCTTAAGACAAGACGTGTTGCGATGCTCCACACTTGCATGCCACCGGGCACCTGAGTTGCACAGCTTTCGCCCACATCCATTGAGCTTGAGGAATGATGTTCCTTTCTGCTGTTTCTGGTCCGGAATCACATCATGGTGGCTGGTGTCTTCTCGAGTGATTTCAAACGCGGTCCTCAGCGGTCGAATGTGTCTTCAGCGTGTGATTCCAAAAGTCGGGAATGGTCTTGTGCGAAAGACCAATTTCAGCCCGTCCTGGAATTGCGAGTCTGACAAACGTTGAAATGCCAGGGTATACGAACAATCCCAAAATATCTGCGAACTCACACATGTCTTTCCACTCTCGTTTGCCCCTTTCCTGTCCCATGCCCAGCCTCACAGCTCGCCAGACAGTAACGGGATCATCCATTGGCCCACCACTAAACTTGCCCGTCGAGGTCACCTCGGCAGGGAGCTGGGCCAGTGTCACCCCACTCCCAGCAGCAGGGGACACAAACGTAAACCACTTTAGCCCACCTGCAATGACCTCCGCGTCAGCAACGGGAATGCCGTCGATCCATCCGGGTTGTGGGAATTCCACAGGACAGGGTCTGGGGAATGGGCCAGGAGTGCCGGCGGATGGGTTCGACAGCGAGCTCCCATCCATCCCCGAAGCGGTTTTGGTGCTCCGCGAATGCCGTCCTCGTATCGACGTATCATCGCACTCGAATGCGGGGAGGACGGAGGAGGACAAAGGCATTGTCATCGATCAGCAAGCTCTCTGCAGCAGATGCAGGACGTGGGCGTGGGCGTGGTGTTTTCGCCGGAATGGCCTATTGACCGCTCATAGGAGCACAGACAGCGAGGCAGGGGAGGGTTAGCGGAGCAGAATCAAGACTGCATGAAAGATTTTGCATTTACACTATCGAGTATGAGGAGAGCGATACCTCTGTCCAGATATGTCATGCTATAACGCTGAGAAGAGCGAATGTGATCCTTCACCAAGGTATGCTACCACTTGTATCTTTTGTCTGTGTTGTCGATGGCCACCAGCCGCTCAAGCTCCACCATGTCGAGCGCGTTCGGGTATGGTCGCCAAAGCATCCGAGAACTTTCATGAGATCGTGCATAATTGCGACCAGGTCTCGGACAACACTCAGCAATCACATAACGGTTGCATCATCTTCAGTTCGCAAGGTCGACCTGTCAACTGAGTCAGTAAAATTTTGTCATCGCAGGCATTGGTCTGGTGTCACCCACCAGTTTAATTTTGATAGTATCGACCTTGGCTGTAGAGTCTTCGCAATATTGACAGCTTCCAAACTCCCAGGACGGCAACTGATCCAAGGCCGGATCATGGGACATCTGGTAGCAGGCCAATCCCGGTTTTGGCGACTTGGGACACCTCTTGACCAGTCGTTTCTCCGTTCGGTGCTTCTCAGGGATCGCTCGAAGGCAGTGGACCTCGGTGAGAATTACTTTTCCGTACTGGCACATGATGAATTGAGACTGAGGGAAGATAGGATTGGTTAGCCCATGGCACAAGGGGGGCGGGAAGTAGGGGGAGTGAGCTGGAATTCACCAGTTGAGATTCTGGCTTGCTGATGATATCTGATTGAATGAAACAGGTTGCGGATGCGTATTTGAGAACAATGAGGCTGAACAGATTCCAGCCAACACTCAAGGTTGGATTGATTTGAACTGACTTGGGATGGTCAAGTAAGAGGAACGAGGAAGAGGAATGAGGGAGAGAGATGTGGAAGAAAGTGGATTGAAAAGATGGGACGCAGCTTTGGCCTCGAAAGTGGTTCGTGCCTTCTTCGTGTACAGCGGTGCAGCAGCCCCGCCGAAGGGGAAGAGGGGCCCAGTTCGACCCCTTACAGGAATCCAAGAACCAGCATCCGACGATTGATCAGCGACAGCTTTCAAGAGGTTGGTAGCCAGTTCCTGCGCCTCTGTGGACGGCTATCAACCTTTAAATAAAGCCACGATGATCTATGGATATGTATCGGGTGTGCACCTTGGATGTCGTGAAAAACTAAGTGACTGCATACATAGGCCTTGTAACTACAGGCTGGAACAGAAATTCCCCAGACTGGGACGTGGAAGCTGGAAACCCGAAAAGATCCAGTGAAATAACGAGTCCGTGACCGGAATTTTCAAGTCAGCATACTTGAACGGGGCAGGATCACAGGGAGACTCTTCCAGACTTGAACTGTTTGTAATTCGTCCACGACATCCGGTAGTGAGTGGTATACTTAGCCTTGCTGACCACGGACAAGGGGTGAGCTGGATTCATGCTTCCAACACTCTTCCCACCTATTCATTGGTAGCAATGAAGTCTGATTGCACCCCTTGACTCTGATGACCACATGATGAGAAACCCTTCCAGGATATGTTCATCCGTTCGCTTGGCCTGCGAGCTCCCTTGACTGAGCCTATCTCGCTTTACTCGTCCCTTTTAATACTCTTCGAGTTCCAAACTGTACCATTCGATCGACACCCGATAAATGACGTACATTCTGCTCTTCCATTCCCTGGAGTGTCTGCTTGATGTGCGTCGGGGAGGTCTTGGGGTTGGATAGAGAGGGTTCTCGAGACGAGGTACGCTGTCGCAGTCTAGATCTCGAGGTCGCCATCTGATCAGTCTTTTGGTAGCTGTCCGGAATGATCCCCACTCGGGGTTGCAATCACCTTTAACCCAGTCAGTCCACGAATCCGTTTGGTCGTGATTTCAGGTAAGAACGGCTTCGAGCTTACAGCCATTAGGGCTCTGGCAGTCCTTCATGCAGCCCTTTCTCTTGTACGGTCCTGATTAGTTGGTTGGAGGCGATTGCGTCCATCTCCAGCTGACCGAGGATGGTAGCGATCAGACTGTTACGCCGAGTGTTTGCACAATAGCCATGATGATTGACGGTGTCTGTTTCACGTACTCTCCGGTGTTTGTCTCGCCGAGGAGATCGAACAGTCGGCACGAGCTTGATCGCCCCTTGGCCACTCTTGGAGATATTGAGGGTCAACCGTCGCTCATTCCCCACAGACATTGTATGCTCCATCAAAGGCCAGTACAGACTCAGAGATCTGGGAGATGCACTTTTAAGGAGCACGCGCAGGCGACCGCAGCGCAGGCGTCGTACCCCTGCTCAGAGTCCAAATCAGGAAGCTATTCCGATAACCTCCAATTTCATGGCCACCCGCAGTGGTGAATCCGCACCCTCGTCAACAGCGTCAGATCTCGAGCTCCAAACTCGCCGTCCCAATTTCCGGACTTCTCGATCATTAGTAAGTGACATTCCACCTGACCGGTTCCCGTAACTTGGAGCGTTCACGCGGACAAAATAGTTCAATCGAAGACGCTTTACCTGCCAGCGTCCCCAGGCGCTCCTCCATACGAAGAAAATCTTCCTTGACGAAGCATGCGCAGCGATCCTGTCGCTCCAGGCGGTATGATGTCTGTTGTGCAATGGCTGTTACAGGCCATACGCTTGAAGTATGCTATGGAGAGCTTAGACGTGCCCTGATGTCGTGGCTGTTTCTGGTGATGGCCCAGATAAACAATGCTGTTGTGCAGCTCTTGCTCTCCTCCCTCCGAAGGTACATCTACCCAACCGCTCCATCGGGAGACACTTCGTTCACTTCGAGAAGGTGGTATTGCTATTTGGGACCAAAATGCTCAGGAAGTGGCAGACCTGGACAAGCAAACTCCAGAGGTTATCAAGACGCTCAAGGCACAACGCCCGAAATTGAGATGTGAGGGACTCTCGCGCTCCAAGCCGGAGAAGTCCTTTGCCATTAAGAAAACGTGCCGGGTATGTGTGTATACATGAGACACTGCAAGGCTTGAACACGGGAAACAAGGGGATTCGAGAGTTGACGGGGACATGCACGATGAAAAGCAAGGATCAGGAAGGAGCCGCACATGTGCTGAACAGCAGCAAACGAGATCGAAGCCAAAATCATATCACATCTCTCCATTCGTCAGTCAGCTCCTCCTCCCTGACCATCCTCCTCAGATCTTTCAGGACAGCCTCCGTGCGCTTCTCCACCACAGTGATTCTCAGGACGCGGAATCTGTTCCCACTGACCTCCAGTACCCTCACCCGTTCCTTGAAGCCTGGCACCTTGCCCAACAGTCCAGCCTATGGCGCAGAGCAAGTTTGGATGTTGTTTGCAAGCAAGAAGGTCTTCTTGCAGCAGCCAAGCATGCTTCCGCCAACCATGTACTGCAATCCTCATGTATATTCCACAACAAAGGAAGGGCTTCACCGTATTCTTTGGAACCAAGAGCTAGAGGAAGATTGTGTTAAAAGCTATTGTGCTCTACCAAAGGATATTCTGGAGTAGAAATAGGCATTGCACAGGATTACCTTATGGAGCGAATTCTCCAATTCAGACACGTCAAGCTGGTATTGGATTCATCTTTTCCGCCACTTCGTGAGCGCTTGTTGACCATGTCCGACACTTGTGACCTGATAGTTCCCCTTCTTCGTACTTCAAACGCCTTTCCGGGCTCTATGACAATATGCAACCAATACAAATGTGGTTCAGATGGTGCGTCATCCTGACCTCTCCGTCCGCAATGTCCTCCCAAGGACTGTCGAAGGAGCTGACTTGGTCTTCCGAGTCAGAGCGAATCATAGTCCAGTCGCCACGTTCCATGCCCTTTTGCCGCGGAGACATGAGGATGGGCTCCCGGTCCGAATCCAGAGACGAGGAAGGGTAGGAGCTCAGCTCGCTGTCTCTACTGCATCGACAAGATGCAAACGAGAAGGTGGATTTCGGGAGCGGGACGCGAGAGGGGCTTGTCCATTCCTTCGTCACCGGTGTCCAGGTGATTCGGACTTCCGGTGGACCTTTCGGCGTCTTCTGACCGCTGACTGCTCTCCCTAGCCGCCGGCGGGGATGTTCCTCCGGGTTGCCCCGGAATGGAGCTATAGTGGACTCGTAATTACGCCGGGAGTGATGGCGGAGCTCAGATGGCCCCATGGCTGATGCTGAAGATACAAGAGACTGATTGACTCCGGCATTCCTCCTGTTGATTTCAGCACGTTTGTGGTTATGTGATGACGCCGTACCTGATTTCTCTGACAGGGGAAAGGAAGGAAGGGGGAAAAAGAGGAAGCGAGACAAGGAAAAAAGGGAGACAGGAAAAGGAAAAGGTATCGGATCGCTCGTATCCCTGTCTCCCCGCTGTCACTCCAGCGCTTGCGGACGGACTGGAAATTTGAGGGCAGAAAATATTGCATGAATTCGTCCGTACATTGTCACAGAGCAACTCAGGAGACTGCAAGGGATACGGAATGCAGCACCATGAGATTGCAAGGGATAGAGAACACGATGGTATGTGCACGGGACACCCCAAGCAAGGGCGGACAGGAATGGCCCACGAAAGCATAAATAAACACTGTCCTCACATTGGAGAGACAATCCTCTTCCCCCTCTAATCATTCCACCCCAGGACCTTTTTACAGAACTCCTCTGCTCCAGATTATTCATCGAATGCATTTTCACTTCTTTCTCTGCCTATAATCATGTCTTACACCTCGCTCTCTAGTTTCAGGGCTAGAAGGACCAAAATGGAAAGAAAATCCCTCGACGAAGACAACATGGTAAGAAAAAGACCAGATATCGACACAGTGGGTACGCAAAATAACTAATCTGTTGTCCGGCGTCTTTAGGAGTCCAGTCTACAAAAGAGTCAACGCCGCGTCTATGAGGATGATTCGGACTGGTCTGATGAAGACTGGGACCTCAGCAAGTTCCGTCCACCGTCCGAAGAGCCACAAGCTCCGCCTGGAGAGATGATTGCGGCATTCTCTCATTGTAGTGATGATGAACGGCAACTTACTCGCGTCGAGATTGCGGACGGTTTTGCTCCATTCAAGGGCCAAAGACACATCAACATTGACGCATCATTCTGTTTCTTCCGCCTTGACGACGGCGTGGCTTGTGGCGCCTGGAGGCCAAACACACGACTCAGGTGGTTATTGCCCGAGGGTGTCCTCATGGCAAGCCTTCCTTTGATGCACCAGAGGTTGTTGACTGCTCGAGGACTGGCCAATTCAGGGTGCCGTAAGGATGCCGTCGCGGTGTGTACTGCGGTGTCGAAACTCATGAACTGGGAGTTCCAAGCCATTGAGCGCCGAACTATCTCGGACTCGGAGTCTTTCCGAATTTACAAAACTGCGATGATACTCTACAACCGGATCGCAAAAGAAATACCGCTTGTGATCACCAACGGAACTATACGAGCAACCATGACAATGACAGTCATGTTCCAGAATTGGTCAAATATAGCAACCTTCACCTATAACAAAGAGCACGGTGTTGCAGCGAACTTTAAGCTCGGAATTCGGACTCTGGAGGGGCTGGAAGAAGATGGCTGGCGCATTGTCGAGAACCCTGTATAACACGAGGAAACTTGAATGTCTCCCTTTGGGTAGCAAGATTATGGTCCAGTACGTCACCGCCCGGATCTAGGTGAAGCCCGGGTTTTTCTCTTTTTCGAATACTGGCCAGCTATGAGCACTTTAATCTCCGTGGTGGAGGACGTGGGAGAGGTACACGAAGACGTTGATCAAGGAGAGGTGAGACTGCGGGTGAAAGGGAAATAGGCAAACGCTTGATAGAAGGTGAAGGTGAAGGGCAAGGTCGGACGAAATCTGCAGCAAGTAAAGGGCGTTTATTTCAGGAGAGATGCTTTACAGATATGGAAAGGAGGTTGAAATCGTGAAGAAAATCTGCCTGTGACATTTCCGTGTGTAGTTTCGGACTCATCTCATGACATTCGAAACTGGTCAACCATATTGTTGATGTAGCCGTGAGTCTGTTTGCTGAATTCCGTCAGCTTGTTCTCTGTGAGGCACCCAATGCCAGGCAGGTTTCTTGTCGACAAGGAGTCCACGCCGAGTCGGTGTCAATGGCCGTTTCCTGGCTGGGGCAGTGACATCGGGGTCCTTCTGCAAAAGCGTGCTTTCACCCGCTGAGGTCGGCAGTTCGATGGCCAAGCCGTTCTGACCTTGGACTAAGTCAACCGCAACAGTTTTCCGGTCGAAGTCCGAACTTCCAATTGTCGCCTGTTCCAAATTCCCGAAAGTGTTCCGAGAGATCATGGGCTGGCAGGAACCACAAAACAAATAGGCCTGGAGGAACGAGAGTATCGACTTTTGTCGAAGGAATGAATGGCTGGAAGTGCGACAGACAGACCACACTTTTCATTGGTAGCAAGATACCGGAGCTTGGTGAACGGGTCTGCCAGTTCCCATGCGATCTTCCGTCTCCCGGTCTACTGAAGGCGAGGGGACAAAAGGTCGAGATTTTGCACCTTGATAGGGATCAACAGATGTTGGCAAGACAGGAGTAAACTGTTCGGTTAGACCTGGCGCCGCACACGCGACCAGTTATTAGAACGGCGTGTAGGTACTCCATCACCGTAGCACATAAGGCGCCCGTCTTCCGCGAAAGTTCTCCCAGCAATCTTCGAAGATATTTCACAAGACAGAGTGATGCCAGCGTATGTGAGGCCGGCGAAGGCAAAGCAAGAGATTATGGAAGACCACGGCGAGGGCAATTCCGACCTCGATAGCAATTTGAATGCTCTCCTCGCGAAATAACTGGGGAAGAATAGGGGGTAAGTATCTCGTAAGCGAAATCAACGTGAGAAAAAGATCTTAGGGGCACTGTATATTTTGAACGATAGGTTTAATTAGCTTGGCCCACCGCCAGTCGACCGGACAGGGAGTCAGAAGTCCTTATTTTCGAAGGTTTCCATAAATAGAGAATATATATATAACTATCCAGGAAAGAAGTATCTGCTATCTTATGTGTCACCCGGGAAGC